TCGACTGTTTGATTACGCCCTTTGTGTGTTATATATATATATATATATATATTTTTTTTTTTATATTATTATTATTTTTTTTTTTATATATGTGTTGTAAGTGTTTGTGGTGTGTGTTTGAATATGTATCTGTTGCCTGTATTGCATTGTTGAGCCACCTCATCTGGTGGGATTTGAGGCTTGATTAGTCTGATTGTTGGTCTGTCTGGGTGGTGTGAATTTATTGTGGAAGCACTGTTGTTCCAAGTGGTTGGTCTTTCTGCATGTCAGATAGGCATGAACCCGTTTGCAATTATTCTCACCAGAACACCCCTTGTGATTCCAATTGATGCAGATCTGTCTGCCGTCGTGCTATATAATGCTAGATCTGAAGGTTCATGGTGTAGAATTGTTGTGGTGTCTTTTAGCTGTAGTGACATCGAAGTTGTCTCCTTCGGCTTCTAAGTTACGATCAAGTAGAGTCGAATCACGGTTCGTTGTCAGGCCTAATCTTCGATCTTCATTGTAGGCAATGACCACCGGAAATTCTTGTTTAACGCATAGCATGTTAATGTGATCATGGTAAGCATTGAGTTCCTGTTCCCTGATGTCGTAGATTATTAAAACTGCCTCTATATATGCTCCAAACGCCAAGAGCCATTCAGCTATGTCATTGAACTTTTGGCTGTGATTTCTTTTCTGGATGGCGATAAACCCGCCTTCAGTGGTTTGTAATGTCTGTTCGTCTTCGTTGTTTTTGAGGTTGACTTTCAAGTTTTTGTGAGTGAAGTCGTGTAAGTCGACATAATTTCCAAAGGCGATAGCTTTTCACAAGCGTGGTGGTAAGCTTGGTTTGGTTGGTAGTACTTCAATAGCTCTATGACCTTCGGGCCAATTGAGGACCCACCACAGACAGATTTGTTCAATAGTTGCGGCTTGAGGGTTGTTAAAACCGTGTACTGGCGGTAGGTCGATGCTTGTATAATCGATAGAGAGGTACTTTCTCATAGTTGTTTTGGCTTTTAGTATATCATTCAACAAGGAGGCGGCTTGGGGTTGTTGTGAGCTGGTGTGTTTATCATACTTTGTGGGGCATTGGTGCTGAGTATCAAATTATTGAGAAGAGGGTTAGGAGGCAATTACCTTGCTGATTTTCAGTACTAGCCTGGTTTTGTTTTTCATAATGTTTGGTCGTAGGTGTGTTGAACTCGTGGTTGTGTAATGGTGTAGACGTCTTGTCTTGCTGCGTACTGGAATCCTGCTGCTGGTGAGTCTGTTGAATTTGGTTGAAACATAACTCTAGACGTTCGTTTAGTTTACTGATCTTGTTTGATTGTGCTTCATTGTTCTGGTCGATGTATGCCTTAATTGCTGAGATTATCATGTTGGATGATGCTTGACATGCCGAGTCGATGTACGCCTTTGTGCGACTATCAATTTGGGAAAAATCTACAGTAGCTGGTGTGCTTTCACTTGTTCGTGCAATTTTTTAGAAGATATTTTTTGAGATTTTTTTTAGCATTAGGGTTAGATTTAGGGTTAAAGTTATTAATAAAAGAATAATATAGGTTTTATAAGCTTTAAGAGTGAGCAAGAGAGGTCATCATTTATTGTATCTTGGGATGTGCTGGGATTGGTGCTTTCGCCCATGTTGCTCTTCCTATCGTTCTGTTGGATATCTTAGTGTGTATATCTTATTGTTGTTGCAGAAACGTTATGGATTACCAGTTGGATTTGCTGAAATTCAGAGTTTGTGTTTTTGCGCATTTTAGAGTTTATATTTATATGGCGGTATGGTGGCTTGCGCAGTACAGCATGATGTTGCTAATTGATACATGGTACAGTAGGTCAGTTTGTGCGCCCCCACCTGATCCTGACCCGTGACTTGACTGGGTCACGTGATTTCCGATAATAGTGCTATGCTTAGTTTAATCTGATTTTACTTATTTGTGCAGGTAACACAAACCAAAAAAGGAAATCGAATTTTGTAAATAAACTAAGTGCGTAAAGATAGAAGTTTAGGATTAGAGCATTAAAATTAGAGGCTATAACAATAGATTGTTGCTTGTTATATGTAAAATTTCGTTTACGAAATTTTTAATTAATGCACCAAGGTCGATTTAAACACTAGTTTTTGAGTATTTTCGCTTTTTTCTTCTTTCGCACGTGTTCGGAATTCATGTCGGGCTGATCCGGAACAATCAAATTTTGTGCACTCCGATTGGCTATTTCCTTTCTAGGGGTTTGTATTACCCGCACAAATAAGTGCGTGCCGTACGTACGTACGTTGTAACTACCGATTGGATGTAAATATCACGTTTGGATCAAAAATCCAACGATAGTTAACAAAATTTGAGATAAGTATATGCGTGAATTCAAGGTTATAATCTGTACTAATATTTATTTATCTTTATGTTGTTAGGGTCAAGATTTGTTTGAAGAAATGTTTAAAATATACTAAATTTGAACCTTTATTAAGAAAAGTAAAACATATAAAAAGGCAATAATACAAATAATAATAATATAAAAAAAAAAATATATATATATATATATATATAACACACAAAGGGCGTAATCAAACAGTCGAAGAAGATCAATGCACAAAAATAGCTCAGACGAACACAACCACGGAAAAGATATACATACATACTTACACATTCAAAGACACAAAAAAAAAAAAAAGTATACACATACAGATCCATAGTTGCACAATAATAACAACCTTCATAAGCAGGGGAACAAGACCAAAGAAAAAAAGAAGAAGAAACAACGAAAAAAAAAAAAAAAAAAAGGGGGACACAACATACACACACAAACAACTATACGATAGCAACAACCAAAATAACTGAAGCAAAGACACTATATAAAAAAAAAAAAAAAAAAAACATATATATATAATTATAAAAAAAAAAAAAAGAATCCTCTTAATCAAATCAATTAAAAAAAAAAAAAAAAAGAAAGAAAGAAAAGGAAACGAAAAGCCAACAAACAAAGAAGCAACACAATGCACTCACACGAACTACAGTGATAACTATAAACACTGGTACAAAATATCAAAAAAAAAAAAAGTGAGAGGGAAAGGAAAGGTAGCAAACATGGAAACATAGTTTAAACATCAAGGACGGCAATACACATATATAGGAAAAAATATATATATACATAAATTAGCATATATATATATATATATAAACAAGAGAACAATAAAGTAGTTATAAGGCTACACACAGGTTTATCAAAGGCAGACAAAAAAAAAAAAAAAAAAAAAGAAAGTCTCTATATGACTTTAGCACAACATATACAATAGACGAACAACAATAGCGATACTATCTCCAATCATCAGTATCAACATCAAGCAGTTACTTACTCGCTTATGTCCCCTCACACAGGAACCAGCATCCGAACAAGCGCAAGCAGACTCACACACCCAGCTCAATTCAATCTCTCACAGAACATCACCTTATGTGAAGAACCAATTTTACAATCCGTTAACGAAATATTAACTGCCATTCTACCACCTAGCCCTCTATTAACTAATGATGAGCAAGACCTACTCAAACAACTAGACACTCAGAAATTTAACGTCCAAACACCTGTTAACTTGCAGGCACTCCAACTGCTGGCGAACTCACATCAATCGTCTATTCATCAAATACATCATCAACGGCATTAAGGAAGGTTTCAGGTTCCATTCCAAAGAACAGAGAACCACACTCATCCAGGACAACCTCTCGTCAATAAAGATCGCCCCCGAAGTGTTCACATCTTACATCTCAAACAAGCTGGCAAACAAACGCATTTGTGGCTCTTTCCCGATTCACAACCCATCTTGCAGCCTGTTCCAAGTCAACCCATGCGGTCTTGTCGAAAAAAAACACAACCCCTAGAGCATACCGAGTCATCTCTCATTTATCTGCCCCACCCGACAACAGCATCAATGACAGAATTGACAAACTAGAGTTTGCCACTAAATATAAAAACATGAATCACGCAATTCGATGGATTAACAGATTCGGGATAAATTGCACCTTATCAAAAATAGACATTAAAGACGCTTACCGGATCCTCCCCATCCACCCCGTGGATCAAACTCTGCAAGGATTTTGCAACAGAGAAGAATTATATTTCGA